GGCTCACGCTGTGATCTTAGCACTCTGGCGGAGGCTGGAGGCAGATTGTCAAGGCTCAGGCAGTTCAAGACCCAGCCTGAGCAACGATCGGACCCGTCTCTACCTAAATAGGAATATTGCCTGCGCTGTGGTGGTGCCCTGTGGGCGTCAGCTACTCGGGAGCGCTTGAGCGCAGGAGGATCTCTTGCAGCCCAAGGGTTGGGAGGTTGCTGTTGAGCTGGCTGACGTCACGCTCACTCTAGCCCAGGCACAGGTGAGACTCAATTCTCAAACAATAATAATTAAAATTTTAAAAGCATGTATGTCAAAGGTTAAATATTTGATAAATTAATTATTGTGCCTCAATCATCAAGGACTTTTTAGGCGACCACTGCTGACCAGGGTGGCAGTGGCTGTCCCACAACTCACGGGGGCGCTGATGGGCACGGTTCATTAGTATGAAGCTGGCAGCAGATGTTACTCATCATTACATGATGCACCAAGAAAAAGGCATAAATGGTCTTAGCTTGATTGATGAAAGATGGGTTTGCTTTGTGAGGCCTCAAGGTCCCCGGGTCCCAAGATCCTGGGCCCATTTTGGAACAACAGGTTTAAAAAACTACTTTTTTTTTCAGCATATTATGGGGTACAACAATGCTAAGGTTTACGTAGAATTTGCCATCTTCCCGCCTCCCAACCTCGAGTCACGAGCTATTAGCGTGACCCTGCCCACCAAAGCGTTGCGACATTCTCACTCGTTGTGTTGTGGTATATGATCCGCTCCGCCTCCCTCGCGCCCCCCTGCCCACCACCTGACACCCGCGCTAATGTAATTCCTATGGTCTGCTCACTTAGGTGCTGGATCCGTTAATAGATTTGTGTTGTTGTCTGGTGCTCGTTGTTTTTTTTCAACTTAGTTTTTTACAGAATGGGCTCCAGCTCTAGCCAGAAACGACAAGAGGTGCTCTGTCACTGGTTGTTCTTATGCTTTAGGAGGACAGGGAGGTAGTCAATCGTACAACGTGTCCGAACACCGCATAGCAGGAAGCCTTTGGGTTTCTTACTTCAATGAGATTCACAGTTCATTCAGGTGCCATGAAGAAATTTCAACCTCGGTTCCCTGGGCCTGGAAGAGTTTGATTGAAGAACAAAGACCAAGCGAGCTCTGGGGCTTGGAGAACCTTCCGTGCACATCCGGTCGCGTTGGCGCTTGAGCTCTGGGAGAAAGCCCTGGCCCCACGAAGGGCGTGCTGCCGACCCTTCCAAATCAAGTGGGTCTCCAGGTGCTGATTTTGCAAACTGAAAGCTCCGACAGGATGGGCAAGCTTGTAAAATCCCAGCAGGCAGGAATATCACCTGCAGAGGACAAAGGCATAGCTCTGTGTGCATGGGTCATGGCAGCTTACTCCATCAGATGCAACCTGGCCCTGGCTTTTTGTTAGAACTGCACTGCGGGCCCGACTCAACTCGGTGGCCTTTGCAGGTACTTCCCACTGCGGACTCACCCCAGCCAACCACCTTTGCGACCCCTCGGGTCACAGTTGAACGCAAAAGTCAGCGGAATGTACCTGGTAGATTCTGAAACCGTTGACTCCCTAACGCTCTTCAAAGTAACAGTCGCCCCTCGAGACCACCTCTGCCAGCTATGCACTGATATCCCCCCTTCCTTCCGTTTGGCACCAGGTTGCTGCAAACATACACAGCGCAGCCTGCAAAAACCACCAGGCTGGAGACATGAACGAAAAACAGACGAGCACACTGAGATTTGGGCTACTGGGTGTTTTTGATTATGTCAATAACAGACATCAAAAACAAAACAGTCCAGGCGCGCGTGGCTTACGCCTGTCTCCCCAGCACTATGGGACGGGCCGAGAGTGGGAACCTAGCTCCGGAGGTCCAGGAGTTGGGGAATACCAGCCTGAAGCAAGGAGCGAACCCGGCGCTCTACATATAAAAATGAATAAATTGGATTGGCTCAACTACATATATAGAAAAGTAGCCAGGCATGTGGCCATGCCTGTAGTCCCGGCTACTCTGGAGGCTGAGGGCAGAGAGATCGCCTTGAGGCCCGAGGGAGTCTGATGGTTGCTGTGAGCGGGCCGAGCGCCGGGCACTCACTCTGAGCCTGGCACGAAAGCGGACTCTGTGCTCAAAGCAAAGGGCAACTAAAACAAACCTCAGGTGATTTTTAGGATCGACAAGTGCAAAAATAACTTACGGGAAACCTGATGACGTAACGTGTCTACGCAGGCATGGTCCACGGGACCCGTCGGTTCCGGGGAAGGAAAAAACCTTTTTTGCCCTTTTTTTTTCCGGTTCCCAACTCTGCGTCTCGCCAGCACGACCCATACGGACCGGATCGACAGGTACCACTGCGTGTGCCGTCTCCTTCGGAGTGACTCCGTTGAAAGCCACCGCGAAACCCTGGTGAGTGGACAGGAACACGGAGACGCGTTAGCCCGGGGTGCGGACGACGTGCCGTTGGGACTGCTCCTGGAGCAAATGACGAGGGCAAGGCGAGACGCGCAGGTTTAAAGTGCAGTTCGTCTTGTTGGCACTTGTGCGCTGGGCCGTTAGATTTAATCTTTACTCCATCAAAAAAAAAAAAAAAAAAAGAAAGTTGTGTGCTGTTTAGGAAGTAAAATAATGGAGCCAAATCCCCGCTTTCCCCGGGTTCTGTTTCAGTGGGTTTATAGAAGCCAGCGATAAGCAAAAAGCTGCAACACATGCAAGAGAGAAGCGAGATTTGGGGGAGAGCCTACGTTGCTTTTGCAAAAGGGAAGAATACGGCGTTCTGAGAGTATGCTCGTTGAAGGTTTAAAATAATCAAAAAAAAAGTACGAAGACTATGGCGATACATGCTCAATGTTTCCTGATGTCATGGATGAGAATTGTTGTTGTTTTTTGTTTGCTTTTGTTACGTACTTCATTTTACACGTGAAATCTGGCCGTCTTGCTTGCCAACATCTCTTCCACAGTCCGGATTGGGTCCTTTGCAAACAGTTTCCGTAAGCTTCAAATGTCTTTCTTTTGATACTTACACTTGCCAACACTGTATATTTACAGTCAGAAGATGATGCTAAAATAAGTTTTAATGCGTATAGGGAACCGGAAAAGGATTCAAAGGTACTAACCAGTTCAAAATTCCATAGGAAAAATAAGCGTATTGAAAGTATTCAGTTAAAAGGAAGCACTCATTATAAGCCAACCGTTGAGTGCTTTTGTTTTATAGAAAGTGATGCATCTATCGTGTCGACAAGAATCTATGGTTCATGGCAGGCTCTCCTGGCCCACTCACCGTTGATCAATAACTCGCCCCAATACAGAATCAATGTTTGTTTTAATCCAAATGCTGTGGTACTAATGATAATATATAAGTGAAGTTTGCATTCAAGTATAAGTTCCTGGTAGAAGCGATGTGATTTTTCCTTCCTGTATGTAGATCCAGGGCAGGACATTTGCAAACGGGCACGGAATCTAACGTAGATAATTTTAAGAGTGTGAAGAACAGCAACAAAAAAAAACTTGTATGACGTCCTTTTGAAGGGTAACCCCTGAGTGCTCTAATGGCCTCTGTTCGTTGCATACCACACCATACAAAACAAACTTGGTGCACACCGTGTGATACTCCGTTTTAAAAAGTTGCCACTGCCCACGACAGTGTCATGTATCGGGAGTCTTGCTCAGACGAGCGCTAGCTTCCTAAGTTAGTGCGCATCCTCTTGTACCCTGGGTGTTTTTTATTATTTGTTGTTATTTTCAACAGTTACAGGGTACAGGTGTTTTTCCGCGTTACGATGATGAATTGCACATGTGAAGTGATGTTAGTCCCTTTCTTCCTCCTCGCCTCTCTTTTCTCGGTTTTTTGTTAAAGAAGCACGGATCACACTGCCTATGCTTACAAAATAAGAGGACCTTAGTCTGGTGGCAACAGAATTGGTAGTTCTGTTCCTGGTTCAAATCGAGTGACATAAAACCTGAAGTTCCGACTCCCTCGCCGAGCTGCAGCCGCTGCCGACTAGTAAGGACAATACGTGGAAAATTGAAGGTTGGTGGTGTCAATTGGTGAAGTCATGACCTGTTTTTTTTTGTTAACTTCAAGGAGTGAAAGAGCTGAAAGATTCTTAGAGGTACTGTTGTCTGTCTGTAATACTCAACTGCAGGGGCTACTATGCGACAGGTGCGGCTTTCTCGTAGGCCAGCTGCGGGGCTTGGAGGGACACCACACACAACCCCCCAGACCTGTCTGTGGGATCCCAGAAAGCCTGTTTGTGGAAGCCTTCAGCTGTATCATCAGGAAGTTTCTTGTTTCAATCTTTTGAAAAGAAGAAAGAATGGGCTTTTTGGGATGCATGCATATTAGTTCTTTTGGATTTCAATTTCCCTCTTTCACAATTTGATATGTCATTAGAGGATTCCATTATTGTTCTATCGCTCTTTTCACCTCCGGATTGCATCTGTCATACAAATTCGATTGGAGCGGTTGTTTTTTTTTTTTTTCATATACAAGCCTTCCAATTCACTCCAGAGATGCTGTACAAATGTTAATTTTCTAAATACGCTTGTCAAAGACACAGATTACAACAAACGTCAGTCTTAACTTGCGTGTTATTGCGTGTGTCGGGCATCCTCCCATCCACAACGTGATTGATGGGAGCGTTCTTTGGTGGCCGAGCAAGTATGAGTAGGCTTTGTAGGACAGAGATCGGACTGAGACAGCAGCAAACAGATCCAAGACTCGGATGGCCATTTCAAACGTCGTCTTCCGTTACAGGATGAAGCGCTTCCTTGTTACGGCGAACGGGCTGTTGCAATCTCCTGCCCTTTTGGAAAACGGGGCCCATTTCGGTCTCGGTTGATGACACGGCACTAGGCAACCGTGCGTCCTCCTGCGTCGCACCTAGCACCAGTGACTCCATCCTGGTTTGGTCTGGCCTGCGGGGGCCAAGTGCAGGAGGCTGGTCCAAATCAACAGCCTCCCTTAAACTTCGCGCCTCACAGCCCTAGCAGGTGGCTCACACCTGTCCTCCCAGCACTTTGGAAGGTGGGGGCGGGAGGATCTCTGGAGCCCAGGAGTTCAACTCTATGGTGAGCTGTGACTCAGCTGCACTCTAGCCTGGGCGACAGAGCAAGACCCTGTCTCCAGAAAAAGAAAGAAAGAAAAAAACAACAAAAACCCCAAAACCAACTTCCTTTCACAGCCTCGGTATGAAAAACACTGACAAGTACAGCTCAGGCAATAATGCTCAACTGGCAGTAATAGCAGGGCAGTCAGAACCGGGCGGAGGTGTGTACTAGTTTTTCACACCTGGAGGGTGCTGTCCACAGGTAGGACCTGCCGCTTTGAGAAGCAAGCACTGCCCCGGGCTGACACAGCTGTGCTCACGGCAGCCACCGCTCGGGTCCCCGGGACGGCTGGAGGGACACATGGGAGAAAAAAGACCGAGCCACCGTTGAGAAGTCTCACCCGGTGACCCGTCTATAAAATAGCTCAGGAAGCTGCATCATTAACAGCCGTGCCACGAACAGTCTCCTTGGGCAGATTTGATGCAAAAAGACCCTAAAGTCTGTGCTGATGAGGGTAGAGCAGGCGTCCACAAACCTACGGCCCGCGGGCCACATGCCACCCACCTAGCACATTTATCCAGCCCACCGGGTGTTTATGCCGCCGCTGCCTGTCCTGCTTAGCAGCCGACGCGTCCCGGGCCCACAGTGCGCGCTCTCCAACGGTCTGAGGGACAGCGAACTGGCCCCCTGTTTAAAAAGTTTGAGAAACCCTGGGCTGGAACGTGCCAGGACTGCTGTCTCTTAGGAAGCAACGATGCTGTCTTTTCTACCCTGCGGAACATTCTAAGAACGCTTACCCAGCATTAACTGCAACTGGAGACTTATTCCAGCGCAACCACCTGTGAACGGTGACCCTTCGTGGCAAACTAAAAATGTGCCAAAAGATAGGAAAGATGACGTGAAATTGGCTTCTCAGGGGTGAGACTCGAACCTCCCCAACGACTGGTTTCCTCAGTCTTTCGGACTCAATTCCATCCGAACGGTTTCAGTGTTCCACTCCTTTAAGCGTTACCTGGCTTCCTCGAGAACTTTTCCCATCACTTTGTTTTTTTCTCCCCGGTTGACGTCTTCATTTAAATCAGTCCCGCCAAAGATGACTCCAAAAGGGATCCGATGACCTGCAAAATGAGGACGGTCAACAAAGCAAAACTCAGCTTCGGAAACACCCCTCACCACCGCGCCCCAAGCCAGGGTCTTAAGCGCCTGAAGTTCCCAGAACACCGGGGACTGTTGTTTGTTTAATTGTTAACTGTTCTGTTGTTTGTTTAATTTTGTCCGACTCTCCGAAATAGCAGAGTGGGTATCACGAGCTTAAACATGACGCTGAGCAGCCGTCACGGGAGACACCAACCACTGGTCAGGACTGTTTTCCAACTAATCTGCTTTAGAATAAACAGATACAAATATTGTTGGCTACCGTCTATTGAAGCCAAGTGGTATCATCCCTAGGAAATGAGCTAATCGGGAGCCAGCACAGTTTATCACAGGAATGAAAGGGCACTTCAAATGTACCGTGTTTCCCCGAAAATAAGACCTACCCATAAAATAAGCCCTAGCAGGATTTCTAAGCATGTGCACAATAGAAGCCCCACCCCGAAAATCAGCCCTAGTGACGGCGTGGCTGCGCAGCGCGTCTGCACAACCCGTGCGTGTCGTCGCGCAGCGGGAAAGAAGACGAGCAGCCCTTCTCATCCGCCCGTGAGAGCTCTAGTGCTCGACAGGAGAGATCGGGGCTGATGGTTCTAAAGGAAACGGAGTCTCAAGACATTCAGGATGGAATTCAGGGTTTGGAGAGTGATGATGATGTTCCAGAAGAAGACGACCTAACTCTATTTGAATCAATGTAGATGGCTGTACCGTGCTTAAAAAAACAATAACACATCCCCTGAGAATAAGCCCTAGGGTGTCTTCTTGAGGAAAAATAAATATAAGACCCTGTCTTATTTTCAGGGAAACACGGTAGCACTTGTTGTGCATCGTCACCGACAGGCACCCGGCCAGCAAGGGGATTCAGAGAGAGCGAGAAACAACCTCGACAATGGCTTTGACCAAGGGAATGATAAATTGCAAATGGCACAACCAAGACGAAAGCCAAAATGACTCCAAATGCTGGGCGTGTGAATGGACAGAGGCTTTTCCAGGGGAGAGGTTGTCATGTACCCCAGTGAAGGGCCCCTGCTGGCGGGGGTCAGGGGGTGAGTGCGCCTCCGGCTCACACAGGAAACACCTCGCGAGCACGGACGCCCAAGGCAACAAGCGTGCACACAGCGCGGTCGCCCGTGCGCTCATCCACCGCGAGTCCCGGAACGGACGTCCAGAGTTCTACGGGAAATTTCAAAAGAGACCATGGCCGGCAAATCACCCAACAGACCTCAGTGAAGTGGAATTCGCCCAGGGGCTTCTCAAACAAGCATCTCTGCTAAGAGGCTTACAGGAGAAGATACTGATCTTTCCTTTTATTGGCCCTAGAATAGTTTCTGTCATGCAAATGAGCAGATTCCATCTTTCTTATTCCCCTCCATCTAGGTCACTTCACCCTGGAATTTCACTGCTATGAATTCAGCCTCCGGGTACTAAGCATGACAATAATATATGCAGGTGCAGCAAGACTGCTAAAAGTAGCAAAATTTGAGAAACTACCTACTGGTGCATTGGGGAAGACCAGCCCTTTCTTTTTAGGAGCTGTGGGTGTGTGTGTGCGCGCGCGCGCGTGTGTGTACGTGTGTGTGTGTGTGTGTGTGTGTGTGCTCACAGACATGGACTGACAAAATCTAATGTTAAGCACAAAAAAACTAAGTGCGTATTGGTGGTGACTATAAGCACGTATAAAAATGACAAACACACACGTCTATATGCATGGAACATCTGTGAAAAGATACACAAAATACTAGCAGCCATCACCTCTACAGAAGGGACCTGGAAGGCTACAGATATGGATAGAACCGAGACCTACTTTTCACTGTATGACATTCTATTTTGTCTGGATTCCTGGCGTTGGGTCTGTACAAGTTGATTCCATGTCTTGGCTATTGTGAATAGTGCAATGAACGTGAGGTGCAGATCTCTCTCCAACCTATCGATTTTATTTTCTTCAGATGTATATACCTAGTATCAGGATTGCTGGACCATATGGTCGTTTTATTTTTAACTTTTTAAGGCTATATTTGCAAACTCTTATTCACCCTTCAAAACCCTATGTAGTCATCCTCTCCTCTCTGAAATCTTCTCCTAACGCAGGAGACCCCTTTTAATACACATTCTTATTCTCGATCAAGCACGGGGTGTAACCTTTAGGAAATTGACTCCGGTAGAAAACAAACCCCGAAGAAATCACGTATCACACACCACATTCTTGAGCCAGTAAACAAAGCCCGATTCCTCGCATATCGGACAGGCAGTGTGCCTCGTCCCCACCCACCACACGGCTCTCCCGAGGAAAAGAGGCGCGTACCTTGCAGGAAGCTGCCTCCCCGGTAACAGGATGAAGGCCAGCGGCCCGGGGGGCAACTGCTTCTCGGGAGCTGAGAGTTTGCGAATGTCATGATGGGGCTTTTCCGCACATCTTCAGAATGCACCACTGCCCCCCTCTAGATGGACCCCCCTTATCAAAAAGACAGAAAAGACGACGATGGGCGGAACATACTTGCCACAGAGTGCTGCTCTGTTAACATTTAACGCTCTCTGGGCACTAATAAGATCGATAGTTACTCGCCGCGGCTTTCTATGCGGCCCAATCTCTTTAAGGACAACAGCCAGTCCAATGAACAAGAAACAACTCATGCCACCACCTCGGATACCCGGGCCGGATGCCACGGGGAGAGCTAATCAGAGAGGCCTGCAACCTTTGAGATGCCGGCAACACTCCCGCGTGCCTTGCTCTCGCCGCTTCCTTCTCTATTCCTTAATTCGACTGTTTTTTTTTTCCTGCCTTAAGGTGAGAGGTACCTTAGAAGTTGTTTTTCAAGCTCTGCTATTCGTGCTTTAAAAAGATCAAACCAGCTATATTCACATAAAATAACATCAAAACAATCTGGCTGTCTTTATCTTTGCTTGTGTGTGTGTGTGTTGTGGTTGTGTATGTCTGTGTTGTAACTGCAGTAAGATAGCACACACGTCCTCAACCCTTCTCTCACCCCCGTTAGTCTCAGTGCTGTAACAACTCTACAAACACCATCTATAAACAAACAAGATGTTCCGATTGGTGACAAGAGCAAGTCACAAAATCAAAGACAAAGAGACAC